CATACCCACGTTTGGCGGTTCCTGAGTTCTTGTCCTGCATCCAGGAAGAATGAGGATATGCTGACAACTGAAGGGTGAAGAAGGCAGACATAAATTTTATTGAGCAATGAAACAGTTCTCAGCAGAAAGGGGACGTGGGGGTGGTTCTCCACCCGAAGTTGTGTAGTTTCTCCCCCAGTGTGGCTGGGTCCTGGGCTTTTACAGTCTCAAAATAGGGGAGTGCGTGCTGATTGGTTTGTGAGTATGCTAAAAAAGTTAAATGCACCACTTGAAGGTGGGCATGACAGTGTAAAAAAACCAATTAGGGAAATGTAGGTGTATGTAAGATAGGTGAAGGGTGAGGATCAGTCAGAGGAAAGTGTGCCAAATGGGAAGACAGGTTCTCAGTCCGGTCTCTGGATTTATCTGAGACTTGTAGTTCTCTTGAAAAACAAACAAAAAATATTGTGTGTCTTGACCTTCAGGCTTTAAACTGTCTTTGATTTGAAGGTGGGAGTTCACCGGGGACCCACTGCTGTCTGCCTAGGCATTTGTCTGCCTGCTGCTGCTCTCACCGTAAGCATTTTTGTTCATTATAAACATACCATTTTAAATGGCTGAATTGAATTTCACCATGTAAGATGAACCAGGGTTTACCAAACCATTCCCTCATTCATTGTTAGACACATAGATTGGTGGTGGGGAGTGTTTCTTAGCTCTTATAAATGGTAATGATGAAGGGAGCATTTCCATATGAAGTTTTTTTTTTGTATGTAGTAATGACTAGGTTAATGTGCAGTGAATTTTAAGAATGACAGAAATGTAAAGTTCATACTCATAGTGTTAGGGTAAACTAAAAAATTACTTTTTAAAAAGACAAATGACAATTAAAAGTAAAAATATAAATAATTCTCTGTGTTTTGTATTTAAATATGTAAAGATACCAGTGTTTAAATTCTTGAAATTATTATTCATTTTTTTCTCTTTATTCTCTTAATCCTTGGTTTGACCTTAATCTTTTCATAGTCTATATTCACTAAATAGTAGTTGATAAAGCCTTGAAATACTTGTTTTATATACTGCGGATATATTGGATATTTTCTTTTGACTTCTTTTTTATATTTTCAAAACATCCATGATTGTTACTATTTCTTGTTTCTCTGTGGAACATTTTATTGCCTGAGAAACAATTCAGTGAAATAATGTTTTCAGTGATGTCTGTCCGCCCAGTAAATAGCACACAGTATTTTTTTTTGTTTTTCAAGGGAACTAGTGAATACAAAATGTTTAAATTTACTTTACGTTATATACCATATTTTGTGATTTAAGTGTGTTGATTTTCATCTTAATATAAATTCATAATGGCTAGCTTGTTTGGAATGTAGGGGAGGAAAACTCTTCCTCCACCCACTTAGGCTCTATTGCTGGGATCTGTGAATTAAACTAACAAAAGACATTAACAGGAGAAGAGGTCTATAGCTTGTATTGATGTTAAGATTTTTGTGTGCACAGGGGCTCAAAGAAAAGAAGTAAAATCCCAAAGAAACACTTAGATTTAGAGGCTCATGTACCGTCTTAACAAAGAGCGATAAATGGTGAAAGGACAAAGGAGGGGAAGTTTGGATTTCTAGGGTTGGTAAACTGTGGGAAGGTGATTAGACGGTGTACGGAGGAAACCAGTGGTCGAAAAGGGTTATTTATTAAGGTTTGTTTATGCACATTCATCTTGGTGCCATCTCTCTGTGCTGTGGTGAGGATTGTTCTTGTTTTCTTCCTGGTGTAGAAGAAGGGGGAGTTTATGCCTTATTTTTAAGTAGAAAGAGGGAAGGTGTAGAACTTTTCCTGAATCTGTTGGTTCTTAATTGCCTTCAGCTCAAAATAATCAATATACCAAAGTGGCATAGTTGGGGGTAGCATCTCCTGATCCCCCCTATTCAGGAGTTTGTGGTTTTTCAGGTTAATCTGGCTATAAATTCTGTATAAAATCTTCTATGCATTATATGAGAATGCATTTTCTATGCCAAATCTTAGGGTTAATGAAACACTTTAGGTTTTCTTTAAGAGTTTCATAAAATTTTGAGAGTTTAATAATTATGCTTTAAAAAATGGATTCTAGGTAGAGGTACTATGGATTTTGTATGTTCCAAGCATTTTATTTTCTCTCTACCTAGTTTAAGATATTGTGTAATCCTCGTAATAGTCAGGTGTTTCTGTTTTACAGGCAAGGAAACAGTGTTAGCGAGGTAGTGGAGTCTGGATTTAAACCTTGGTATTCTGACACTGAACTGCTTGCTGGCATTAAGATAATTTTTAAAAGAAAGATACGTACAAAGGAAAAAAAAAAGAGGCTGCTTCCTGTATCCCCAGTTGCCTTACTCAGTGCCTCCTGCATAGGTGGGTATACATGAGAACGGAGTGATAGTGTATAGATGTCACTGAAAACTCAGAATCAGTGTTTTGCGGCAAATATGTACATTGAATACATGTTTATATGTATATATAAGTATATATACAAATATAATATAAATGTGTATATTAGTATTAAGAGGCAAGAGCATCAGTTTGCTCATTAAGTTAGCTAAAAACATCTGAGACTTTTTCTCTTCTGGAACTTAGAAAAGGGAAGCAGGTAGGAGTTGTTTTCAGACAACTTGGATTCTATGTGTGGATTCATTTTCAGTGTGGCTGTTTGCCCACTTTCATTTTCATTTTTAAAAACTCCTCCAGGTAGTTGGGCAACATATTTTAGGGCTTCTCCAGTATTTAAGTTCTAAGAAATGGAATTTTATTATTTGGTATGAATACTATTTGAGAACTAGGCTATATTTAAAAGATAAAAAAGCTGGCCAGGCATGGTGACTGACGCCTGTAATCCCAGCACTTTGTGAGGCCGAGGCATGCAGATCGCGAGGTCAGGAGATCGAGACCATCCTGGCTAACATGGTGAAACCCCGTCTCTACTAAAAATACAAAAAATTAGCTGGGCGAGGTGGCGGGCGCCTCTAAGTCCCAGCTACTTGCGAGGCTGAGGCAGGAGAATGGTGTGAACCCGGGAGGTGGAGCTTACAGTGAGCAGAGGTTGCACCACTGCACTCCAGCCTGGGCGACAGAGTGAGACTCTATCTCAAAAAAAATGAATAAATAAATAAATAAATGAAAGTAAAATAAAAAATAAAAAAATTAAAATGCTAATGTTAGGGAAATATAATTAAAACCGAAATCTCCCAACCCAGAAAATTGCTCCACAAAGGTAGAAAAGAAAGAAAATAATGTTATTATCGAATGAACATTAAATCAGACTACTGTGCACGTCACAGGCAGTCACTAAAGGGATGGCAAAGACAGAAAGAAATCTTGCTGTTTTATATAACTAAATGGTTGCAATCCATTACATCCATATTTTCAAGATAAAATTGCTAATTTTTTTCACATTTTTATGACTAGAGGTAGGTTTTACACTTTGGAGTCAGGTGACAAATTAGGCCCATCTCCTCCTAGGAAACCAGGAGATTGAGTGTTATTTCCCTTGGTGATTACATTTCAGAGATGGCTTTCAGGTCCTTAGGAAACAGCCAAGTTAAAGGACTGGAGACTTAAATGCATGTACATTGAAAGGGAGGGAGAAATAAATTCTGGAAAAGAAAAGGGGAAAGGGACCTCCTCCCTTTCCTTTGAATTAGCAGTGTAAAATAAGTTGTTATTGTACTTGACATTCTACCTTTCTAATGTATATATGGAATTGTCAATGGAAATAACTTGAATAACTTAGCAATAATTTTGTAATAGTTGAGTTACATTGAATTTTAAAGGATTATCAACTTAGTAATTTGATTATGGCATTTCTAGGAATGAGGTGAGTCTGAATTGGAAATCATCTCTAGAGGGTGACACAGGAGGACATGTTGGTGTGCATGGTGTTTGCATCCTGCTAGGTGGTGGTATAGAATGAAATTAAAAATTAAATGAAGTCTGAGGTAGCCTTAGAAAATAGAACCTTGGCTGGTTGCAGTGGCTCACACCTGTAATCTGCAGTGTTCAGTACAGCATGTTACTGTATTGAGTACTGTAGGCAGTTGTAACACAGTGGTATTTGGGTAATCTTACGGTACTACAGCACTTTGGGAGGCCGAGGTGGGAGGATCACTTGAGCCCAGGAGTTTGAGACCAACCTGGGAAACATGGGATACCTAGCTCTACAAAATAGAAGAAGAAAAATGAAAACACAAGCACTGACATATTGGGAGGTAGGAAGATACACTCATATACAGCATGATACTGATTTATCATAGCGTTTAAGTATTTTTAAAGCCAAGTATTACTGAGGGAAAAGGTAATTTAATGCCAAGAGTTCTCTCTTCTGTCTAATTGAATTGTACTAACAAGATTTTTTTTCCTGTCTGTATTAGAACATAATATCCCAATTTTAAAGGGCAGTTCTTTTAGACATGCATTGTCTTATTGCCCAATAGATAAATAATTTTATGAGGGATCTTAAAAAGTAGAACATTTCTTAAAGTTGGTTTTAAAAAATGAGTTGTCTCTTCTAAAATTTCTCTCTGATTGTTTTTAGGTTACCTAGGGTATGAATTAATACAGACTTGGAAACTCTGAAAGAACTTAGAATCAGCATTTTGAGGTAAATATGTATATGCTAAAGTAGTGATAAGGTTGCCTCAGTGGGCTTTGTTGACTTCTTAGCAAAACAAATTTGTGTATGAAATGAGAAATTTAACCTCCATGAGAATGTCTTCTAGAGGACTGGAAGTAGTAAAAAGAGGCCACTGCGGATTTATTTTTCCTGAGCTTTTGGTAGTGGAGGCATTGCAGAAGGCTCAGACCTGAGAGCAAACCAAGTCTGGTGTCAAATCTAACAAAATCAGTATTTGTTGATCAAATTAAACTTTTTATATCTACATTTTATGCTTTCTAGTTTTCGATTTATGTCTTTTAGAGAGCCACCCCGAATTTAAATTTCTGCCCAACATTAGCATTCTTAACAGTGTTCTTGAATTTTTTTATTCATAAATGAATTCTATAAAAATGTATAGTGTAGATGTAACTGCTCTTCGAGTTTATATTTTTAATCTCATTTTGGGAAATTGGAATTGCTGATGAATTTCATACCTGTGTTAAAGAGTTACTACTGGGTTATTTGGATTTCTCAGCCAAGTACCTCTTCTGGTGACCTTCTTTATTTCTTTTGTATATGTGAATTTAGGAAATAGCAGCTAATTTTTTTCATTTTTCTATAAAGTACTATCTTTAGACTTTATTTACGAAATCTTTTTTTGAACTTTGCTCTAGCTTTGTATTTCTCCCAGATCTCTGGGAATTAGGCATGCTATTGTAGCTTATTCTCTTGTTCTTTGTTTTAGGGTAAGCCTTGGTATCCTAAAATAATCTAAATGCCTTTTGTTTAAAATTTAATTCAAAATAATGGCCTTTTATTCAACTCTTCATATCAATAGGGCTGTCTTGTAGATGTGTTTCTGTTCAGTTTACAGAAATCTTAAACTTGGCTATTTTTGCATTTATTTTTAGAGCAGAAGCTTGGGCATGCTGTGATTTTCCAATAAACTGCTATCACAATGTCAAAATGCAGTTCAGACAACAGCAACACAGAGATCTCAAACATTAAAACGGTAAATCTGTGATTCATCATGTGGAAAGAGGGAGAGAGTTTATTCTTGTCTTTCTTGTCTTTTGCTAAGTTACAGTCATGTATTGCTTAATGACTGGATATCTTCTGAGAAATGCATTGTTAGGTGATTTTGTCATTGTGTGAACATCATAGAGTGTACTTAATTAACATAAACCTACAGTATAGCCATTATACACCTAGGCTATATGGTATGACCTGTTTTTCCTAGGCTGCTAACCTATACAACGTGTTACTATATTGAGTACTGTAGGCAATTGTAACACAGTGGTATTTGTATATCTAAACATACCTAAGCATAGAAAAAGTACAGTAAAAATACAGTATCATAATCTTGTGGGACCACAGTCTTATACGGGGTCAGTCTCTAAAACATTGTTGTTGGGTGCATGACTGTATTTCTAAGTGCGTAATATGTGGAAACTGTGAAACAACCTCATTAGTTTCATGAGGGTAAGTTATTTGACCAGAAATTTAAAATTTTTAGTTGAAAAACAGTCATGTGGAGTTATTTTGGCTCTGCGAAAGCAGTTAATGGTAGCCAGTTTATCTGTGAAACTAGAACCTTTACCTGCCAGCAGGGATTCAGATCTTTTCATTAAGGCCAAGTTTAAAAAATCTGTTTAAACATGCCAAGAAAGTAAAAATTGGCAACATGATAGGTTTTCCTGTTTTTATATTACAGATTACCTGTTGGATTTTTTAGTCTTGGATTTGTTTTCCCTAAATAGAAAGGGCGTTACTGGGGCCAGTTGTTGTCCACTAAATGAATGAAAATTAATTTAAACATTGTAACCTTATGGAAAATGTAATTGGAAGGGTTAAATTGTTGTTCTTTATGTCCTTGTACATCCTCTCTCCTGCACTCATCTCTCAGGGCTGGTCGGAGTGGGATAGATGTGTGTTTCCAAACCGAATAGAAATATATCTTGATTCTGTTCTGTATATTGTTTTGTGGACATTCATGAGTCTCTAATTCAGTTTGTCAAATATTTACTTAAATGTATATACAAAATATTGTAGCAGGAAATTTAAGAGGTGCAAAGAATAAGACTCACGTCTTGTTCTTATGGAGCTGTGCTCCAGTAAAAGAATAATGTGTATGTTGTGTATGTGTGTCTGTGAATAGATGTAAAAATCTGTGATAGAAATTATGAAAGGCAAATAGAAGCTGTTTGAGGTTTTAGTGTCACTCAGGTGGACATTGTTTTCATTCTAACAACCTGCAGTTTTGTTTGCCATGTCCTGGATGTGGTTCTGTACAGTGGGTAATACAGGTAAGGGTAAGATATGCAGCTCCTGTATCCAAGGAAATTCTAGTCTAATTGGTCATATTTTAGTGAGAAAAGAGTTAAGAGAAATTATCTAAATAAGAATTCATATAAAATTACAGAAGTGCACTTTATGGATTAAGACTATACCCCAAGCCTCTGTAGTATAACTGCTAGGATCACTTGGATTGAGCACATAGGATTGAAATACAGGATTAAACACTTAGAGTTGGTCAGTCAGGGAGGATGCATAATATGCTGTAGGCTTTCAGCCAACAGGGATTACTCTTCTGTTGTGGAAGTTGCTGGTGAATGGTGGTGATAGCATTCTAAGCCCGGTCAACAATCTGAACGTAAGGTTACAGGTGGCAGAGGTCAGGCAGTCATGAGTAGGGGACGGCACTTTTCAGAGTGCATTTGGGACTAGATATCACAGAGAGTAGTGCTTTGGTTAATTTTGTTTTTAAATATCAACTTTTTAATGAATTCCCTTCCAATAGTTTGTATTATTTTCTTACACATGGTTTTTTGTGAAAACTGATAGAAACCTTACTCTTTTCAGATATTTTTGGTTACAGATGTTATTTCTGTATTTCTTTATTGTTTGATATTTATTTTTACCATGTAATGTATCTATTTTCTCTTTACTTAGAGTCTAAATAATGATAAATGTATACCTTTCATTTCTCTGATTTTTTTTCACTTTTATTCTCAGATTGATTCTTAGAAACCAGCTACCTATCATTTTTTCTAAACCCTGTGAAAGTTGTGGGGTGGGGTGGGGCATTTATGAGAAATGTTGTGTTTGCTAAGAAAAGAAAAAAATCTCTGTCTTTTGAAATGCCAGGAACAGAGCCTGGACACTGAGTGAATTTGCAGCTTCTCCTTTGCCAAGCTCTTTACCTGCTGGTTTGTAGAAATAGGATTGACATACTTGAGTGAAGTTGGTGTCTTGAGGTGAAACCAGGCATGAGGAACCTTGGAGGTCCAGGGCTTATTTTCCAGATAGAATTTGTTGGTCTTGGGCCAGCTTCCCTGCCCTGCCTGTTTTCTCCTTTGTGATTTTATGAAAGCGAAGGAGGAAACAGGCAGGCCAGGGAAGCGCTCTCTACCTCCCTCCCTCTCTTGTGCAGAGGGAGAACTGTTCAGATTTTTCCTCAATTTGTTTCTGAAACAAGCAGCTTTGCAGTTTCAAAAATAATTTACTGATAGCAGAAAGTGAAAAAAATACTCCTAAGGACAAGTAAGGTGAAAATTTTCAAAGTCTTAGAAGCTTCTTGGTAGAGCTCATCCCTGGTTTCTTGGTGTCTAAAGACCCTTGACTTTTACCTTACAAACAAAGCTTTTGACCTTGCTTGGGATCTGGCTGCAGTACTTGTTCATTATCTCAATATTTGTGGCCTGATGGCTTTCTGCTTTGGTCCCTGACTTTTTCCCTTTCCCTTTTCCTTCCCTTTCCCTTCCCCTTTTCCTTCCCCTTCTCCATTCCCTTCCCCTTTTTCTTTCCCTTTCCCCTTTCCTTCCCCTTTTCCTTCCCCATCCGCATTCCCTTCCGCTTCTTCTTTCCCTTTCCCCTTTCCTTCCCCTTTTCCTTCCCCATCCCCATTCTCTTCCCCTTTTTCTTTACCTTTCCGCTTCCCCTTTTTCCTTCCCCTTCCCCATTTCCTTCCCCTTTTTCTTTTTCTTTTCCCTTTCCCTTCCCCTTCCCCTTCCTCTTTCCCTTTTCTTTCCTTTTCTCCTTTCTCTTCCTTTCCCTTTTTCCTTCATTCCTTCTTCTTTCCCTTCTTTCCTTTTTTTTCTTTCTGTTCATATCTGTTCTTTGCTTTCCTCTTCTCTTTTCTACCTATACCTTTTATAGGAAGTGATAATAGTGATTTAGAGAGTGTCATTTGGTTTGCTTTTATCCCAGAATATTCAACTCAAGCTAGCTTGGACAGTTAAGGAATTTGTTGGCTCAGTTAATTGGAAAGTCCCTTGTTAGGCTGGGCTTTGAGGTTGGTTGATCCAGCAGTTTATTGATGTCATCAGTGACCCAGGTTCTTTATTTTTGCCGTCTGCAGTACTGGTTTCATCCTAAGGCTGGGTGTTTTCATGGGTCTGCGTAGTGTAATTGCAGCAGCAAATGGGGCTAATAATTTCATGAGTCATCTTTAGAGGGAAAGAAAGACAACTGCTTCTCTTCAACTGTCAAATGAAAGTTCTAAATTTTTTGCTGTTGGATGAGCATGAACCAATTCCTCTGGCCAAGAGTAAGTTGTGTGCCCATCAGCTTAGGTTTGGGTGACTGGCAGATGGCAGAAAATAAGAAACTAGAGACTAGGCAGCATAGCGAGACCCTGTCTCTACAAAAAATTAAAAAATTAGCCAGTTGTGGTGATGCACACCTGTGGTCCCAGCTACGTGTGAGGTTGAAGCTGCAGTGAACCATCGTTGCACCACTGTACTCAGCCTGAGTGATGAGTGAGTCTCAGTCTTGGTGAAAAAAAAAAAGAAAAAAAGAAACTGGATCCTTGAAGACTTCAGTGAGCCACTGTTTGATTGAGACCAAGCAGAGTTGAGCATGGCTATTATCTGTAGAGGAAATGGAGTATTTGAGAACTAGCCAGAATCACCTGTCCTTGTGCTTTTGAATACATAAAGGAATGAAGTATTTATTTATATTTGAGCAGAAAATGAAAAAGATTTATATTGGAAGAATAGGACAAAAATATGTACTGTACCCATTTTACCCCCTTGTTTTATCAGCTCTGTGTGTGTGTGCGCGCATGTGTGTGTATCTACATGTAGATTCTTTTCTGTACCATTTGAGAATAAGTTACATGTATCATAGGTCTTTACCCCTAAGTACTTCAGTGTATGTTTCCTAACAATAAGGGTATTGTCTTACATAGCCACAGTGAGTTATATCAACTTCAGGGAATTTTAACATTGCTGTTACCTCATTTTAAAAATGGATTCAGTAATGTCCTTTATGAATGAGATCACTATTTATGTTCTTTGCAACATTATTCATAATAGCCAAAATATTGAAACAATATAAGTGTCCATCCACAGATGAATGGGTAAAGAAATTGGAATATACAAACACACATGGAGGAATATTATTCAGCGCTAAAAAGAAGGAAATCCTGCCATCTGCAATAATGCAGATGAACCTGGAGGACATAATACTAAGGATAATAAGCCAGGCACAGAAAACCAGATACTGCATGATGTCACATGGGAATTGACAAAAGTAGAATTCTTACAAGCAGAGTAAAAGAGAAGAGGTAGAATATGGGGAAAATGGGTAGATGTTGGTGAAAGGGTACAGAGTTTCAGTTACATGGAATGAGTAAGTTCTAGAGATCCAGCATACAGCATGGGATCCATAGTGGATAACAGTGTATGGAATACTTGAATTTGCTGAGAGAATAGATCTGAATAATTCTCACTACACCAAAAAATTGTAGCTATGTGAAGAGATGGATATGTTAGTTAGCTTGACTATAGTTTACTGCATATATGTGTGTCAAAACATCACAACAGTATACCTCCAATATTTTCCATTTTCCATTTCTGGCGTTTTTCTCCTTCAGATAGGATCCAGTCTAAGTTCAGGTATTACATGTAGTTGTCATGCTTCTTTATAGTCTCTTTGTCTTTTAGATTCAGAGGGTATGTGTGTGTTTTTTTATTACACGGGTATATTGCATACTGGTGGGAATTGGACTTCTAGTGTACACGTTACCCAAATAGTGAACATTGTACCCCATGGATAGTTTTTCAGCCGTGTGCCCCTTTATCACCTTCCTCCCTTTGGAGTTCCTGCTGTCTGTTATTTCCATCTTTATGTCCATGTGTATCCATATAGTCTTGTTAATCTGGAACATTTTCGTAGTTTTTCTTTGTATTTTATGGCATTGATGTTTTTGAAGAATACCCTCCCCAGCTTTAAAACATAAAACATTCCTAATTTATTTTTAGACTATTTTTCTACAGTTATTTATTGTTATTACTAATGTTATCTATATGAGAAGAAATGGTGACAGTTGTAGGGAGGAGGGAGTGCTGCCGGTTCCTGGACATACCTGGTTTGTGGAAGTAGGAGAAGATGTGTTGGGTATTTACATCACGGCCCTCTTTTCTCCTTTGTTTTATATTTTCATCCACCATCAGGACTTAGACTTGTTTCTTGGTACCTTTTACTGTGTCTTTAATAAGTCTAGGATTAGCATTTGGGTTGGGTGAAAGTGAAGGGTCAGGTTTAAAGTCCTAGACAGTATGCAGTCTGTAGTCATGAAGGAGAATTGTAGAGGTATCATGAGAGTGGATTCCAGGTGGGAAGGTCAGTGATGGGACCCGCAGGTCTTAGCCTTGGGCCTTCAGAGTGGCCTCTTGATCTCAGACATTTTTGTAAAATAGACTTCCATATAGGGTTCTTGGCAGTTGTATTAAGAAAAAAGTTTAACTGATGAGCCTGCAAGTCCTGAGTTCTTGCTGAATTTGGGAAAGTGGGTACTAGGCTTGGGTACTAGGGTGAAAGAAATGGCTCTTGGGGCTTTGATTCAGCAGAGATTTAGCAGATTATTTTTCATGAAGAACATAGTTCTCTTTGATCCAGGGAAATTATGGGTTAATATTATCTCATAAAATACTCTGTGGTGCTTTGCTTGTTCCCTTCTGGAAAGATGATGAGCATGATTGTGCTGTTAGGCCCACAGATGTACTGTCTTACTGGGCTCTCAGCTCCTGCAGTGGGGTGCCCCTGCACTGCTTACTTGAGATAATACTTTATGGTCGCTGAATGTTGAATTCTTGTCAACAGAACTAATTTCTCAAATTAGAATTCAGTATTATGCTTCTGTATAAGAGACCCCACACTTGAGACTTCTTGTTGAAATAGTTGCAACAACTTAAGTTGTGTGTTCTACTTAACACGTCCGGAGATTCAAAAGTTTTGGTTGTTAAGTAACAAAGAACTGAATTCTCTCTTCCAGTTTCATAGAGTAATAGCAATGAACACTCCAAAGCAGTGCAAGAGAGGAAATTTCCTTCTGTGGGGCGAGGAAGTCCTGCTGACAGTAAAGCCAGTGGTAGGCTTTCACACAGATATTTGAATCCCTGACCCTCTGTTTGAAGGTTAGGAATTTTAAAGATTCAGTTTTTATCATTTTACATAGTCAAATTTATCTGTGGGAAAAACTGTATGAAATATAGAAAATGCTTAGATACCATGAAAAAATTTTTATTTCACAGAGTGGTGTCATTTGTTTTAATTTATCTAGGATATGTATAATTTTAAAGATACATATTTAAATAGTTGGTCAGTTGTTCATTTATAATAGGTTGTCAATTGAGAAAAAGGCCTTCTGTGTTCATGGGCTATTGATAAAGTGACAATTTAGCAGGTGTCTAAATCTTTCCTCGTGCAGGCACGTGCTAAGTGCCTTCCATAGATTATCATTTTATCAATAACGTCATAGAATATACAAAAATGTTCAAAATATATTTATATATTTACATATTTTATATATGTACATGTATTTAACAAGGCATCATACTTTACATATTTTAAAGGTTTATAATGGACATTGTTCTATGTCAGGAAATATAGATATGTGTTATAATTTTAATGGATTCAAAGTATTCAATTATAGAGTCATACCATAATTTATGTAGCTTATTTTTTACTAGTAGATTTTAAAGTTATTTCTTATTTTTAAGTAATAATGCAACAACAAATATTCATGTACATCTCTTTGTGCAGTTGCCTGATTCATTCTTTAAGACAAGTTTCTAGATGTAGAATCACTGGGTAAGGTACAGAATGCTTGACTCCTAAAATGATCCTCTTAGATCAAGAAAAAGTTAAAACAATTATAGGAAGAATTTGAATGACTCGTAGGAATGATATTCTGATGTTTCTCTTGTTTCTGTGCTTTCTTTTGTTTTTAACCCTGCATGGTTGTGTAATGGTATTCTTTTTCCCTTTTGTAGTAAGCTGTGCTAGAACAAAAATGCAATGAAAGAAACACTGGATGAATGAAAAGCCCTGCTTTGCAACCCCTCAGCATGGCAGGCCTGCAGCTCATGACCCCTGCTTCCTCACCAATGGGTCCTTTCTTTGGACTGCCATGGCAACAAGAAGCAATTCATGATAACATTTATACGCCAAGAAAATATCAGGTACTAATGCGAACACTAATACTGGAGCATTCTTCACTAAAATGGAATAAATTAGCATATAGTTGACACAACTTATATAAAACTCATTTACCCTTTCAAGCCTCCCACTTCTGATTAATTTTCTCATTCAAAATACTTTTATTCTTAATAGTCCTTTTCTTTTCTAACATCTGCTGGGTAATTGGATTTGATAGTTGTATTTGTGAAGTTTCTTTTTTCCCCCTCTGAAAACCTCACTGTTCTTTAATACTCACTTGGATGTGTCTGTCCTAGTGAGCTGGGTAGAAACCTAGATTAGTTTGCAAATGTCCAGCCATGAACTGGCAGAACCACGATTACTCTAAGTTTAGTTATTCATGTTATTCTAGAGAATTATTCTGTGTATACAAAAATAATGCTTAAAGAAAGGGTAAATGCCATTGCAACACATATTTACACAATACAGTATATATAGCAGCAGGCATTTTATTCCTCTTGAGTTATTCTTGTATAAAGACGTAGACTGTGGGGTTTTTTTCGTAAATTTATTGGAGGAAGATTTTAGAGAATAGCGAAATTTCCTGATTTAAAATAAAATCCAATTTTATAAATTTTGTACTTAGGTAAGAAGTGCATAACTTTTTTTCCACCATGTTTCTAGGTTGAACTGCTCGAAGCAGCTCTGGATCATAATACCATCGTCTGTTTAAACACTGGCTCAGGGAAGACATTTATTGCAGTACTACTCACTAAAGAGCTGTCCTATCAGATCAGGGGAGACTTCAACAGAAATGGAAAAAGGACGGTGTTCTTGGTCAACTCTGGTAATAAAAAATTATTTCATCAAGTTGTGCAGGGGAAATTGGATGGGATTTTATGTTTAAACAGATTTTCTTTGTGTTTCTTAAGTTAAATTATTGAAGAAAGTTTGACAGATAATGTACTCATTTAATCTCTTCTGGCAGAAATTGTTTTGTCCTATGTCTTTTTGGTGTTTCTCTTAAATGTTCTGGTTCTGTATTTCGTTTGAATGGATTGCTTTTGGAACATAAACATTGGAACATATGTACATTAGAACATAATCTAAGTTGTTACATTTATTTTTGCTCTTGATGTTTTAGCTTCACCAAGTATGTCAAAAGGTGCTTAATTATGGATAGTTAACTTTTGTACTTACGATTTTGCTATGTCAGTTGTATTAATAGAAAGAAAGTTACATGCTGCTTAGAAATTAGATATTCAGTTAAGTGTTTAAAATACTAATTTTTATATGCTTGGATTATATATAAAAATAAAAAATATAAAATGTGAACCTAAGCTGGTAGGATCCTAATATATTCATGTTACTGCTCTTTTTTTTAGATTGTCTCAGTATAACGATGTACTTTAAATACATGTTAGACTGTCTTGTTTCCATCTGGTTTTATTGAAGAAAACAGGAGGGTGGCTTAGAGGAAATCAACTGTGAAGAAGAAAGGTGGTATAGGGTTCTCTGAAGCAAGTGACAAAAAGTGAGGTGGCAAGTCTAGTAGGTGCCATTTTTTTGGAGGATAACCTTGGAACTGTGGTTTTAAAGAGGCTATTAAAAACATTGTTGGTTAGGTCTAATATAATAATAAGGATTTCTGTAGACTGTTAATCATTAGTAGTCCAGAGAGCCAAGTAGACAAAATTCCTCGTATTTACATGGAGTGTTATATTTGTAATTAGCAAACCAGGTTGCTCAACAAGTGTCAGCTGTCAGAACTCATTCAGATCTCAAGGTTGGGGAATACTCAAACCTAGAAGTAAATGCATCTTGGACAAAAGAGAGATGGAACCAAGAGTTTACTAAGCACCAGGTAAGACTTGTAGAGAAATTTCACTTTATAAATCCCTACAAGTTCTTGACTTGGTTTGTAAGATTATCTGTAGCCTTGGTTGTCTAATTTAGATTTGAAAACTAATTTCCTGTACTTAATCAACCTAGAAACTAGTCCTGATGTACTCTATCTTACTTTAAGTCTTACCTTAAAACCGAATAAAGGCTGGGCACGGTGGCTGCCACCTGTAATCCCAGTACTTTGGGAGGCTGAGGTGGGCGGATCACCAGAGATGAGGAGTTCAAGATGAGCCTGAGCAATATGGTGAAACCCCGTCTCTACTAAAAATACAAAAATTAGCTGGGCGTGGTGGTGTGCACCTGTAGTCCCAGCTACTCAGGAGGCTGAGACAGGAGAATCGCTTGAACCTGGAAGGTGGAGTTTGCAGCGAGCTGAGATCACACCATGCACTCCAGCCCAGGTGACAGCGAGACTCTGTCTCAAAACAAACAAACAAACAAAACTAATAAATTACTAATTTTTATTGCTCTTAACATTGTAGAAAAGAAATAGCTTTCAGTATGATCTGCTTGCTTGAAAAACACAAATTCCTATGACCTATTTCCAACTTGCTGATAATGCGCTTTCAGAAAATTTACTCTTGAGTTAAATGTCTTGAAACTGGAGAAGTTTGTTGCTTGAGGTGTTTAGGTCTTTGACAGAAACTCCCTCTAACTGAATGTTTGCGTGTGGCCAGCGTGTGCTGGAGACTCCTGTAACTTACATGTTTCCATGTAGCCAGCATGTACTGGGGCTTTTGGTGTATTAGTCATTGGGGGATACACAGTGGTTAAGAGGCACTTCCTCACTGAACTGAAACAGCCCAGCCTACTAGTGTGCTTCACATATTGGGATAAGTCCTCATTAATAAAGCACTTAAATATCCACATAATGATAGGCTACAAAAATAACATTTAGTCTGGGTTTTCTTTCAGAAAACCATGTCAGTTGAACAGAAAAAAAAATAAAAAGTGTGAATTGTTTTGTGATTTGCCTAAATTGACTTATCTCATCAGTCATAATATGGCTGTGGGGATCTAAGAACCTGAAGTAAATTTGGATTTGTCATCAAGACATACTTTCCATTATCAAGCTATTTTTTCTCTACTCTTTTCCCATGTTTTCCTGATTTCCTTCTTAGTACTGATATAAACAATTATATATATTTAGTATATTAGTTTTAATTTTGACTAATGAATTCCTTAATTCTCACCTATGATACAATGGCTCTATGATCTGATTTTATGTAAGTATATCCAGGCAGTGAATGCCATGTTTGTTTATTGATGTTGATTTTATTTTAGGTTCTTATTATGACTTGCTATGTCGCCTTGAATGTTTTGAAAAATGGTTACTTATCACTGTCAGACATTAACCTTTTGGTGTTTGATGAGTGTCATCTTGCAATCCTAGACCACCCCTATCGAGAAATTATGAAGGTAAGTTTTAGACCTAAGTCTTAGTAATTCTTTTTAAACTATTTAGTATAGGCAGATTTTTTTTCTTTTTAGATTTCAAAAGCAATAATATTATCAATATTGGGAGTTTGGCTCCAGCGTATGAATGAATGAATATTAAATTAATGGTCATTTAAATCTAAAATAAACTTTAACATCATAATAGTAAATTCTATATGATTTTCATAGTGTATCTATTTGAGCTTTTTTGAAAAACAGATCTTTTAAACAAACTACAGTAATACTATGAGTAATTTTATGTTGTTCTTGGTATAGTGGCATTTCCACCAAACAAATTCTTTTTTAGTATTTGTGAGTGATTTTGATATGTTTTAATATGGTGATGTCTCTCTTGTTGTGGCCTTGCAAAATGAAGTCTTTACTGTCAGTATCTTTCATTACATTAGCTCTGTGAAAATTGTCCAGCATGTCCTCGCATTTTGGGACTAACTGCTTCCATTTTAAATGGGAAATGTGATCCAGAGGAATTGGAAGAAAAGATTCAGAAACTAGAGAAAATTCTTAAGAGTAATGCTGAAACTGCAACGGACCTGGTGGTCTTAGACAGGTATGCACTTCCAATTGACACGGCTTTAATGAGATTAGTTGAAAAAATATTAAGTCTTTGGTGTTTTTTGTAGTACCTTGCAGATAGTACCTATTTAAGTGAACAAATGGCAGTAAAAAGGAATGGGCAAGAGTAAGAATTCTCTATAAGTATTGTCACCTGTGAGTTCAAGAATCTAACCTTGTTTCCACAGAGAGTAGCAGACAGGCATTTCTGCCTTAAGAGATTATGCGTCAGCTCTTCTTATTTGCTGATGTTGCCAAGGACTGGGAACTTTGACAGTAAATTTATATTTTTTTCTGTCAATACGTGTGCTTTGTTGTTCTGTCCTAAATGTCTTACATGATGCTTTCAAAGAACATTAATTTATTTAGATAATTCAGCAGTATACTTTAAAACATTTGGAAATACCCCATTGTTTTCAAAATGGGTTGTGGATTACAGAGAAAGTTGCTGTTTGTTTTTCTAGGTTTGACTCTTTTTGAGGGTGTTTTACTATTTTGAGTTTCATTGAAAAGCGCACGCGCACACACACACACACAACCTTCATAACTGAAGTTGGTGGAACGGAGCCTTTACAAATTAGGAAAATGGCTTTTCAAATGTAACGAATTTGATTTATGTCAAAATGGCCTTCCGTTCTTACTAGATGTAGTCTTAAATAAGGCTAAAGATTACCTAGTGGTAGTTCTCAGGACAGTTACAATAAATAGAGAAGACTGATTTCTCAAGTTGTGGAGTTGAGTCAGACGTGAGTTTGAATACTAGCTCCGCTAATTGTAAGCTGTGTGACCTTGAGTGAGTCACTTATTTCCTTGAACTTGCAAAATGGCATTGACAGTGGTTTCATGGGATTCTTTGATGATCGATTCCATTAACACATAGAAAAATCTTGCAGTGTGCCTGGCATTTAGTAAGTATTTAAGGAAAGTTTTCTTTGGAGAGTGAGAAGGAAAAGTAACATTTGGAATCCCATCAAACTTAGGTATCCAAATGCCATATGAAATACAAATCTTGTGACCTCTAGAACGGGCTGTGTCTGACTTCCTTGAGCCAACACTGATGGAGAAGTGGAAGGCTGTGCTTGTGCTTTTGTCTGCCTGAGTTAGAGTGCTTCACTTGTATTGCCTAAAGGTTTTCTGAGAAGTAGAAGTAGTAGAGCATTTAAGTAAGACTGATAAGCAATCTATTGATAAGCATTACCTAATTGTCCAAATAATGACTCTTTGGTTGAGTATAAATTCTGTTTTGGGTAAATAAGAACTATAGTATACATGTCTGTGCTAGATTTATTTTTCTTATTACAGTTATCATACGTGCTTTTAGGGCATTATGTGCCATTCTGGTTGTCATTTTTTATGAAAGACCCAAGGAATGATATTAGAAATGAATGAAAGTTGTGGGAGTTTTCCTTATGAGGATTTAAAAATACGTTAAAAGCGATATTTGCAAATACTAAAAATTTCACACAGATATGAAAATGGATAAATTGAATGATAAAACTCCCCGTGATCTGTCTTGTCATTCTTCTTTCCGCCTCTGAGAAGTGATTGAGTTTCATGAGTATTTTGAACACCTGTGTTCCTCATTCTGGCAGATGCCTAAGGGGGCAAAAGATGGAAGTTTAAACCTAAAAAACAAAAGAAAGCAAACTGTAATAATAATGAAATCTGTTGGCAAATTTATTTGAATATCAGCCCCATGTAGTCATTCCTTGAGACCTAACAGGCAAACATAGTACAGATTGAGCATCCCTAATCTGAAAACGTGAAATTCAGAATGCTCCAAAATCTGAAACCTTTTGAGCGCTGGCGTGATGCCACAAGTGGAACATTTCATATCTGACCTTGTGATGAATTGAAGCCAAAATGCGGCCAAAACCTGTTTCATTCACAATATTATTTTAAAATAATGTATAAAATTACCTTCAAGCTATAAGGTGTATATGAAACATAAATAAATTTCGTGTTTAGACTTGGGTCCCATCCTCAAGATACTTCATTATTTATATGCAGATATTCCAAAATCTGAAAAATATTGGAAATCCAAAACAGTTCAGGTCCCAAGCCTTTCAGATAAGGGCACTCAACCTGTGCAGATAAACGTGAGTACCACTTTAGGAAGGCGTGTTGTGAGGCTGCCTTTTATATTGATTAGATATACAGACTGAAACTAGGAAACTTCTTTTTGGAGTTAGGCATATAAGTGGAGCATAATGCTGTAGTGAATTTTTTTAGAAGTGAAACAAAAGGTGTTCAGGGAGGCAGTAGGGTTTGGCTGAAAGAGCCCTCAGAGGAAGGCAGTCCTGAGTTTTGTTTAGACAGAACCATGTGATGTCTTTGAACCTTCATTTCTTTCATCATCCTCACTGTGTGTGGATTAAGTCAGAAGGTATGTAAATTCCCAGCATAATGCTTTGGAATGCAGTGGATGCTCGTTTGTATTCTTTTCTTTCCCTTCTTCTCCCCTTGCCTTTTGAAAACATCTTTTAAACAATACTTGACTGGTTTATAAAATATATTATTTACTGTTGAGAAATACAGTAATATAGAAAAATAATAATTAAACACACCTGAAATCTCACCCCAGTGCCAACATTCTGGCTTTTTTTTTTTTTTTTTGTATCTATTCCCCTTTTCTTTGCTTTTTGAAAAATTTAAGTTGCATTCTCACTACTGCAGTATTGATACCTTTTGTTTGTTACGTTAAAGGTATACTTCTCAGCCATGTGAGATTGTGGTGGATTGTGGACCATTTACTGACAGAAGTGGGCTTTATGAAAGACTGCTGATGGAATTAGAAGAAGCACTTAATTTTATCAATGATTGTAATATATCTGTACATTCAAAAGAAAGAGATTCTACTTTAATTTCAAAACAGGTAAGCATATACTAAGTAGGTATAGTGATTGTATTTTGAAAGCTTTATTTTTAATATTGAAATGAAAATATGCTTCTAATGAGGCTCTTTTTTTACATTTTAGTTTAAGTTCTTAATCTTTTTATCTCCTTAGACATTTTTCATTGAACATACCATATTAGGTTGAGTTCATTGTTACCCAATGCACATTTGTATTAAATGTAGACTTCCCCTGTCTGAACTAGCATTCATGTCATGGTTATTTAAGTATAAGAAGTGAGTCCAATTTTTGTTTCTTTTTGGTCAGATGAGTTAGTTCCTGCTCAAACCCTTGAACTAAACAAATTCTTCCACAGTTTCCTAGTGTGTGTAACTGGATATGAGCCTATTGTCTCTGAGTGGTAATGCTTTGAAAAGAGATCCCTTAGGACAGTGATCCTTCCATTGTGGGCCCCACATCCTCATCAGCAGCATCTGGGTGGGGTCCTCAGGACTGAATTTTACGGTTTGCAGAGTCTTCAGTTTGGAATTTCGACAAGCCCTGCAGTAATCTGATTCATTAAAGCTTGAGAACCACTGCCCTAGAACTTTGCAACCATTTGTGAATGTTAACACTGTATTAAATATGGGTCTTAGTTTCTCTCCTAATGATTTTTTTTTCTGGAGCAGCGGTGCCCACATTTTTCTCAACCTTTGAATTCTTTCTTCCTTTCCTTTTCCTTTCCCTTTTCTTTCCTCTTTTCTTTCTTCCTTTCCTGTCTTTTTTTCCTCT